ATAGCGCACTAATCCCCGCGTCGCACGGCCCCTGCAAGGGGACGGTGCGGACGGCGGGCGCCGAGTTTGGCCGCTCGGCAGCGGGCGCGCGCCGTGCGGGGCGCGCGCCACGCCCCCCGGCCGGCATGTGCTTGCCGGGGCTGTAGGCGGCTCGCGAAAAAACCTCCAGAAAAAATATGCGATAGAACCCACCGCGGGCCGACGTGGCCGGCGGGGGTGCGAGCCGCTGGGCAGTGCAAGCGAGGCCGGCACTAGTGACACCGGGGGCACCTGACGCGCGGCCGCAAAGGCGGCGGCCGCAAACACGCCCGGAGGGGGGGCCCATTTTCGACCGGCTGCGGGGGTGATGATGATTTGTTACTCCGCCTGCGGCATCGCAGGATCCTGTAGCCACCGAGCCTGCTCGCACCCCAGGGTATGAGCAATCACACCCCACCCCACCCCACCCCACCCCACCACGGCGCCTTTCGTTCCCACCCCACGACCTTACCTGTTCCAAAGTTGTCCCGCCCCCAGCACTCTGAAAACACCAGCTAGCCGTCCCCACGGAGTAATAATAAAACAACAGAAGGCCTGCGGGGGGCGTATTTGTGCAGGTTTGGTAGCACTGCCACAGTGGGCGCGGCCGAGCTCACCGCGTGCGGTGAGCTCGCTGGTGGCGTGCGTCGCGTCCTGGGCGTGGCCCCCGCTGGTTTGCCGCTGCCGCTGCTGCTGCTGCTGCTGCTGCTGCTGCTGCTGCTGCTGCTGCTGCTGCTGCTGCTGCTGCTGCTGCTCTGCAAAAATTTGCCACAAGCAGAGGCCGTGCCGGCTTGGGCCTTGTCGGGGGTAACGGGCGCTGTGCGCAGTGGGTGCCTGGCGGCGGGCGGGGCGGCTTAAGCACGGTTGGCGGGTGGAAATGCACAGATAAGGCGGGCAGAAGCAAGCGGGTGGCGCGCGATGAGTAGTCAAGCAAGGCAATAGGCGGTGGTGGCACGCAGCGGAGAGGGCACAAAACTGCGGGTGAGGCACAACGCGGTGATTGCGGGTGACAACCAGCGCATCGCGCAGCATCGGCAATTCTGGCACAATGCAGCGGGGGAGGTTGCGCTCTGCGCCCTGGCTGGTTCCCAGTGGACAACCCTGGCTGGCTCGGGGCTGGTCGGTGTCCCCCTGTGCACAACGTGCTTTACAACAGTACAGTGCGATAAGGGAAAGCCAACACAGCGCGCACGGCGGCGCGCACGGCTCAAGAGCAAGCGGGGGTTTGGCGGGTGACTGGTGGGAAGTGACTGATTGCGCCCGCGGGGCCTCCAAGGCGCACGCGTGGCGGCGGCGGCGGCGGCGGCGCGGCGGCGCCGGAGCCGCGCCCAACGGGGCGCGCCGGAGCTGCAGGGCCATCGGAGCCCGTTGCCCCCGACACGCAGGCGCCCGTTTCTTTGCTTGGATCGGCCTGTACTCGTCACAAATGCCACCATTTGCGGCCATTTACAGCGTCGCCAGGTATGGCCAGCTTTGGCGGGGTTCTGCAGTTTTGGTGTGACAAACAGTGGAGGCACAGGCAGCTGGTGGCCAATCCCCAACCTCGGTGACGCCCTTAAAAGGCTTGCACAGTCCACCCACCGCCTCGGGCAGGCCAACACGGGCGCCTTGCACTTCGAGCTCTGGGCCAAACACGAGCCGGAGCGCCACCCCTCCTCCCACCATTTCCTCACGCAACCCAAGGCGGCCACAAAACCGCAGCGGCGCCGCGCGCTGCAGTACCGGTACGGACAGCTCCCAACCGGCAACAACCTGCACAAATGGAAACTGACCCCCAGCCCAGCCTGCCACATGTGCGGCGCAGCCCTTGACGACACCGGCCACGCCACGGCCGGCTGCCCAGCGCTGGAGGGCCTCTACACCGAGCGCCACCACGCGGCGTGCCGCCTGCTGCTCGGCGCCATCGAGGAGGGGCAACGGGGGGGCCGCGTGATGAGCGCCGACGTGGGCAGCAGGGAAAGCTGTGCCGCCGCCGGCGTGGAACACGCGGAAAGCTTGCGCCGCTCAGGACTCCTCAACGATCAGCAACACACGGACCTGAAACAACGCGGCGCCTACAGCGTGCCCGATCTGGTGCTGATGTGGCCAACATGT